ACCAGCAGAGAGGAAATGGAAAAGTTCCATATCGTTGCCTTTCATACAAAGTTCATCCATTTCAAATTGATTTTGAGTTACCATTAGAAAATATGCAAAGACGGATAATTCCAAATCACTCGCCCAAGGAGTACGTGATTTTTTCTGCAATGATTTGATTTGTTCCGTATCAATTTGTTTAACATTATGCGCGATCTTTTGTTCCATTAATTTTTGATCGTATTTTCCGAAAGAATTGCGCCTTTCGTGATAATAACCTTAGCAGTAGGTTCATCAAGAAACGACGGTCAGCATGAAAGAAAGCATGTTCTCTTCCATAATTTTGGATAATCCATTCGGCTTTAGCATCACTATTTTTTGCAATCTCATGCCAGTCTTTACACGTGACTATCAGTGCTTTTGGATATTTAATGTGTTTAAATATCCTAGTTTTGATGGATTTCGTAAGTTTTTTTTTGTCGTTCATATGAATTTATCGTGTCAAAAGTTGTAGTTTATAAAGTTTTGATAGAAGCATTGTTTGTTTTAATTTTGATACTCTATTAAAATTTTTGTCATAATTATGAAATTAATTACAAAATTCGACGATTTTCAACGCCAACTTAACCGAAAGTAGCGAAATTATTTCACCAATGTCTTTAGTTATAATGCATCGTACTTATAATATCAAATTAATCGAAAAAGGCTTTAAAGTTATTTAAATCAAATCCACATAAGTTTATATAGAGCATGAACATTTTGGCTTGTTCTTAAATGTAAAGTACTCCATTTTTGTCCATTATTTTTGCACAACGTTTATTTAGGAATTAATGAATGATCATAAAAAATATTTTCACGAGAACAGTTTTTTATAATATTCAATAATATTTATTATCTCTGCATACTTGGTTTATAATTAACTCCGAACTTCCCAATGTCATTTTTGTGGCGCTTATGCATGTAATTATGGCTTATCGGTCATACTTATTTCCAGAACTAAATGAGCATCTAAATTCGTCGAGTATGCATAAGCTTAAATTTTATTCTTAAATGCTTTCTATACTATTTTGGTTGAATGGCATATTTCCAGAACTAAATGAGTATCTAAATTCGTCGAGTATGCATAAGCTTAAATTTTATTCTTAAATGCTTTCTATACTATTTTGGTTGAATGGCATATTTATTATGAAGTGCCAATGTGGTATCACAAATATGTATAAACGGATACAGACGGTTTTTTTGATTAAATTATCACACACTTGCTTATATAAAGTTACAATTTATGCCATATTGGGAGGTCGGGAACAAAAAGGTTGATTTAGATTGACAATGTATCCTATTTTGATAAGTAATGATAAAAAATTCAAAGACATCTGTTAATATTAATGTTCGTTAAAAGCTAATAATAACTTTTATGGTGAATTCTCAAAAAAAGTACTTTAAAGCATATAAATAAGTTACCCGAGAAATTAACCAATTAGATGTACGCATGTTATGACATATAATTTTGTTTAATCTATTCATATGCTTTTAAAATTTTCGGGTCCTGTACAATTTTTACGTGATTTTTCGTCATGCACAGGTTATTCTGATGACAATCATACGCTGTTTTAGTGCATTCCTAAACAATCAGAAAAGTTTCCATGGAAATTATAGCACTAAATTAGTATTCGATGTAAAAAAGATCAGATGTATAAATTACATCTATAAACGAGAATTATAAAAAATTAAGTACTACAAATATGCTTTTGTTATGCTTGCCGCTTTTGTTCAAACGTACAAACTATAGTGAGCCTATAAAATTATGTTTATCAAGCACTATCTGAATTAATACCGGCATCATTCAACCATTATAACATAGGCACTGTGTATAAAAACCCTAACTTTTCGTCTCTTTCTCAAAAATTTTTTTAAAAAATTTTTACGAATATGAACCAATCCGGAGCTCAAATTATTAATGCCCAATTACAACCCAATAATGGTCAGTTGCAAAGGCCTCAGAACATTGGTGGTCCACAAAATGGTAATGGACAATTTCAAGGATCCTTGAATATTGGCAGGCAGACTTTAAGGCCTCAGAACCTGTTCAATCATACTTCCATTTCTGTTCAATATTACACTGACCTAGTTGAAGGAACAAATCCATTCACTAGGACACAAGGTCCTCCATCACAGAGTAACCAATCTTTAACGTTGTTGATCTCTGGATTTTCTTTTCCATAAATATGATTATGATTGTGCATCAATATATTTTTAAGTTTGCGCTTTAATAACAATGTAACCACTATTTATTTCATTGTAAGTGTTATGTTCTAATATAAGGTTACCCTTAAGAGATGTTATTTTAGAGATTTATAATTTTGTTCGGCTCATTTTGCCATATATGAGAATGTGATGGTTGCATGCATATATTAACTAGGCAGTGGCACTTTTTTATCCGATTTAGATTAAGTAATGAAACTATATCTCCGTACGACATTATCGTGCAAAACCAGAACATAAATTAAAAACAATGAATAAATTCAACGGCTCGTAACTTATCTATTTCAACCCTAATTTTTATTTATTATTTTTTTTTAACGACTCATTTGATATATTTCATTAAATTTATTTCATTTCTGCTGACTTTTGATAATGTATAAATTCTTTGCTCTTCCCTAATTTTTCATTCTTACTCAATATCCCCAAGCTAGAATGCTTCATCCATATAAGCTGATTATTGACAATCAATAAATAAATAAAAATAAAGATTAACAATTATACGAAAGGATCTTTTCAAAAGGATTACTAGAAGTCGGCTAAAAAGCCACATTTACGATGGTTTAAAATTACCTTTTTGATACAGCTATGGTGCGTATGTTATTTGGATATCAAGAACATAATTTATGAGTATGTAGATTAGTTTATTAAATTTGTCCCTTCATACTTTTTTGAAGTAGATATAACAATAAACAGAATTAAATAATCGGAAATATTAAATAAATTATTTGAAATTAGTAATAATAATATCCTGATCCGTTGGGAATTAGCGGAAACTTCGTTTCCGCTTATTCACATACGGTCAGGGTA